TGATACTCCTGCCAGGAATTTACTTAACACAATCATGACTAGTGACTTTTATTACTTATAAATATAAGTTCATAACGATTATGTGAAATTCCCTTATATTCTAGCATCAAATCCCTGCATGCAAACTAAGTGTGCACCCTTAATAAACATACAAGAATAAGTTTTCTATAAATTAGATAAGTAAATCGCATTCATGTTTTATGAAATAATAACTGGATGTAATTAATTTATATAAAACATATGATCATGGCTTCAAATTCACCTCTAGCTAAAAAGAAATTTAGTTACACATGTTCATCATAGTTGAAAAGCAATCTAACATAAACATCGAAACTAAACAAGGATATAAAGAACTCTGGAAATTCCAATGGATGAATGGTAGGTTGCGGCACTCTTTTTCTCTGGATGTAGGATGCGGCACTCTTTGTTTTTTTCTCCTCTCTCCCCCCTGAAAGTTGCGGCAATAAGTAGTATTTATAGGCAGGGGGCCTGACACAATTTGTGGAGGAAGAGGATTAGGTTGTTTGCATTGTTTTTTAGGACTCCTTAAATCAGATAAGAAGTGCTTTAATGTCATAAAGAATCCCCCTTGCAGCTGGAGATAAGGTAAGATAGGATTAGGATAGGATAGGATAAGATAAGGTTGGATAAGATAAGATTGGATAAGGTCTCCTTGTTTTCAGCTGATTCCTTGTCTTCCAAGGATTAATTTACTTCTTCTAGATTTGTAGCACATTTTTAGCATCATTTGTCATCAAAAACGTCCATCCATTATGCTCCATACGCATGTTATCCAATCCATGTCCAAAACTGCTCCAACTTACTCCATTTTGCCCTTTATTGTCACCTTTACCAATTGGATCTACAATAATACGAAAATAACTTAAATTGCTATAATAAATGGAAATTAACTAACTAAATGCAAAGAAATAAGATAACAAAGTCGCATAAATATGCTCTTATCAAAAGTCCGAGCTATCAATTGAAGGTGCTTTATGAAAGCTTCTGCCAAGCCGTTTTTGGTGTGAAAATGGGGTACAGGATGTTCCACTTCAATCCTTACTGACATGAAATAATCATCAAAAGGATGTGACGTAAACTCTCTAGCGTTATCCAGTCGAATCGACTTGATCTGATAATCAGGGTGGTGAGCCCTTAGCTTAATAATTTATACTAGGAGTTTCGCAAATGTAGTGTTACATGTGGACAACAAGCAAACAAGTGATCATCGTGTCGATGCATCAACTAACACCATAAAGTATCGAAATGGTCTACATGTTGGTTGGATAGCTTCACAAATATCCCCTTGAATCTGTTGAAGAAACTTAGGAGGATTGTGAATAATTTTTGTAATCGAGGGTTGAGTATTCAACTTCCCCAAAGAACATGTTTTACATGGCGGGAATCTAACGTAGGGAGGTAAATGATGCCCATGTGATGATTTGAGGATACGGTGCATCGTGTCACGTCCAGGATGTCTCATATGGTGCATCGTGTTCTGGAACTCAGGCATAAGGCCAGCCACATGGTGGACTTCTATGCCACGAATGGTTGTTATGTACAACCCACTCAGGAGACGTTCCAACTTATCGTGAATACGCTTCTGGCCATATTCATACGAAGTGATACAAAGAAATTCATATCCATTGTCTTCAGTGGTTTCAATATGATATTGATTATCTCGAATATCTCTAAAACTCATCAAGTTCTTTCGAAACGTGGAGAATAGAGGGCCTCTTTAATGGTTAAGACGGTTCCATTGGACAACATGATATGGGCCTTTTTGCATCCTTCAATCAGGTTGGATGAACCTGAGAGAGTTGTCATAGGTGCTTTCTTAGGTACAAAATTAGTAAAATGGTGTCACTTACGCAATATGGTATGTGTGGTAACACTATCAACCAGATAACTAACTTCCCCACTAGACATATACCTAGAAATAAATTGATTGAATTGGTCACATCCATAAATATAATTCCATTCATTCAATTAATCAATTCAAGAAATAATATCCATAAAACAATTATCCATAATTCAAAATAAACCAAAACTAAATTGGGGGTCCGGCCACTCCTAGTGGGTTTGGCCACTAGGGGTAAAACATCGTAAAAACATGTCTAAATTTTATTTGTCCATATGAGCTAATGCCTCCTGAAAATATGATATCTCCATGGATGTAATAGCATCTTCGGGATGATCCACATGTGCAAAGTTAGACTCACGGTGGGAATGATACTTAGCAATGGTATTAGGGGTAGCTCGACGTACGTATGACCAATGGTCCTTTGATCCACAACAGTAGCACATGTCCATTTTAGTGGAAGTCGATTAAACCGTAGCTTTTCCCTTGTTCTTGAAGTTTGTGGCATTAAAGGTAAGGGGTTGGCGCTTCTTGGTCAAATTTCCTCCCTTGGGTAGGCTTTGACTATGTGGACCTTGGGCTCGTGGTGGGGCTTACCGTCCATTGCCACGGCCATGATGATTTTTATGTCATTTGTGGCTGCTAGAATTGGTCGCATGCACTTCAGGTGGGGCATTCGAGCCAATGGGTTGAGCTTAATGATTCTTCATCAAAAGCTGGTTCTTCTTTTCAACAAGAAGTAAAATAGAGATCAAATCTGAAAATTTGGTGAACTTTTATGCCCTATATTGTTGTTGCAGGACAATATTGGTGGCATGGAAGGTCGAATAGGTCTTATCCAAGAGATCTGATTCGATTAATTCCACTTTACAGAACTTTAGCAGTGATCGGATTCTACAAACTTCAGAGTTGTATTCATTCACAAACTTAAAGTATTGGAAGCGTAGATGCTGCCAGTCATGTCTTGCTTCAGGCAAGTAAATGTCTTTCTGGTGATTGAAACGGTCGGCCAAAAAAAGCCAGAGGGTGCGTGGGTCCTCCTCAACGAGGTACTCAGTCTGCAGTGCATCATGAATGTGTCTTCAAATGAAGATCATTACATTAGCTTTCTGAGCTTGGTCGACGGGTTTTTCTCAATAGGTGCCTCGATAGTGGCTCTAATACCATTTGCAATAAGATGGAGCTTCACATCTTGAACCCACTTCAGGCAGTTGCTTCTAAATACTTCCAAAGTGGTGAAATCAAGCTTGTTCAAGTTCGAAATGTCCCTAAAATGGAGGGTATAACAAAAACATGGTTAGTCATATGGTAATCCATAAACATACATTGTAGAACATTCGGGTTCTATAGACATGTATTGGTTTAATTTATGCATGAAAGCTACAAGTATCATGTGGTATGTTTTGAATGAAAACTTCGGGTTTCAAAGGCACTAAATATGAAATTACAGGTTCAATTTAGTTTTATGAATGATTAATTCATAAAGGTGAGGTTCCTGCAGGAACATAGAATGCAATATGCTGATTTAATTATAGTGGATTTGAGTTGCTTCGAGAACTCAAGTGTGAGAGCTTCAGGACTACGAAAGTATGTCAATGGTTCAAAGTATAAAAACAAATTATTGAATCGTTAATGTCCAAAAGTGATCTTCAGGTCAATAATTTTGGATTAATTATCAAATTAATGGACTGCAGGTCACTTTTAATTAATTGAATAGATCAGGACCAAACGAGGTCGATCGTGGAAGCAAAATAATGACAAACAGGTCATATTAGCTTCGGTTGGAGATAAACCAAGTGATAATTAATTAGTGTAAACCAAAGTACCCTAAATAAATATTTGGGCATGATTTATAATGCAAGGATGCCAAAAATTGGTATCGGGTAGAAAAAAAGACACATGAGTGAGCCTTGCAGATTCGGCTGTAGGCTTATTGGGTCACGAGAGGGCTTCAAGCCTCTGGGTCATGTGGTCTGGGAAGCCTAACAAGGCTGCTAGCATTGGGCCAAGAAATTGGACATAGGTGTAGGCCCATCAAAAAGTTGGTCGTGGGTTGGTTTGGGAATCCTAGCCGAAGCTGGGTTCAGGTCGGGACAACCCAAGCCCAGTAGCAAAGGTTACAGGAAAGTGGGGTGAAGACTGGGGCGAAGCCAAGTGAGCTATAGGCTGCTTCAAGCGAGCCAAATCATGGGGTAAAAGTAAGCCCAGCGGTACTGGGTTGCTAGAGTTGGACCAGGGACTCACGGAACAGCAGGCCAAGAAGGTTGCAGGCTTTCTTGGTTGGGCTAAGAGACTTCAAGCCTGTTAAGCTCATTAAGCCGAAAGCCTAGGGTGTCTGGCTTAGCATAGCAAAGCCCAAAGGTTGCTGCTATGTGGTCCAAAGGTGTCAAAATGACACTGTGCCATGATGTGCTCCACGCGGCTGACCTTCAAGCTAGCAGTGGTTCGGCGGTGGTGCCAAGGTGGTGTGGCAACTGTACCGCACCAGTTCCCAATATATATATATATATATATATATTCAACTTTTCTAGGGTTTGAAAACCCCTAAATTGCTTGTAATTTATTTATATGCTTTGACTCATAAATTCCATATAACAATATAATTGTGTAATGCATGAAACATATATACATATATATATATATATTGACAAATATATATAACACATATAATATATATATATATATATATATCGGAAGGAAAATATAAACATAAGGGGTTCATGCATCAAGGGGAGTGTTTTCATGCTTCATGGTCGTTTCAAATATCTTCCTTTATTTTAAGCGTACCTGATTGGCAGAAAAAAAAATAAAAGCCTTTGAATTTTGTAGAAGATAGCCTCCTCCTACAATCCTTCAGTTCCTTAGCTTCTGGCAAGAGCGTGCTAATAACGTGTTGTAGACCTATTTAACTGAGCTATTCTAAGGGAATAGGGAGGGGGAGGCCGGCGGCAACAAGAGGGAAAAGATAGAGAGATTTAATTGTGAGGTGTGTATTGTATCATCCCATTGTGCCTTTATTTATAGTATTAGGAGAGGTTAAATCATTACCCTTTTAGGATTTCAACTCTAATAGGATATTAACTACTAAAGGGAATATTCAAAGATATCCCTAGATACACTAGGATTTACACAATCATATTCCTATTCTAAATATGACTGCAACAGGACGCCTTTTCCATACACAGAAAACCCTAAACACTCACTTTTTTCAGAGAGACTAACTTAGGCATCGGAAATCCATTGGCCAACACCCCCCCTCCACACCCACACTCGTCATGGGCGCGTGAGGCTTTTGGTCTTTGATTGAAGGTTTAGATTGTTTTGTAGGTGTATTTTTGTCAAGACTGAAGACGGTGGAAATTTGCATCGACAAGAACGATCACCAAAGGTTTGTGGCAAGATTCCGAAAGCAACCGGTGCTACCTCTTCTAGAGCCACGAATGGAGCCAGTGTGAGGCATAATCGCCGCAATTTGTTGTTTGAGGATGCCCCCATTCATTCAAATCTCTAGCTCTATCCCTGGTGGTAGAATGATTTCTACAAATTACAAAATCAAATTATCAATGATAAATCAATTTAAGCCAATTCTAGTTTTTCCTAATAAATCATTTTTATTGTCGCTCACCACCCATCTCACACAAATTCTGTACTACTATTTTAGATTAGAGGAATTTATATTTGTTGTTATGTTTGATTTAATTGTTTCTTGTTTGAAGGTGTTGCAGCAACTTAGTGGCCAAACACCCGTTTTCTCCAAAGGTAATAATTTTTTACCCATTTGGATTTTTATTGGTAATTCATTTTTTACATCATTTTATATGTCTGCTGCTAGAAATTAGCGTTCGATTTCACAATATTATGTGATGACAAATTAGGTGATTACCAAAATATAATCAAACTTTAAGAATATGAACTGTAAGAATATCAACCCAAAAGCACGAAAATATTGCATTATATTTTGGAAAAGCCCCACAGTGATTTTTTTTATTTTTTTTATTTTTGAAAAACAGTGATTATATATAGGATTATTTGGCTACGATAAAGAATGTAATAATTACACAACATTAGATAATCCTATAAGCGTCATTATTATCTGGTGCTTTTAGGATTATATTTTGAAGAAGAAGAAGTGGATTATATTTTAAGTATGACCTAACATTTAATTACACAACATCAGATAAACATGAATCAAATCTAAGAATATGAACCTAACGGATAATCATGCTCTATAATCCTAAAAGCACCTGATAAATCTATCTTTGAATGAACATGATTAAAAACAAAACATGATTTAGGTTATTAAAAACTCTACACAAATGGTTTAAAAACCGCAATTTTGTTTCCGGTTTTGTATACAGCTGAGCTTTTAACCTAAACAAAAATAATTAAAAACCCTACAGTTTATGTGAATCGGGGTGACTAGCATAAAAACTCTAAGTCCTGGTTCAATCAGGAGTCCTCAAAGATAAGGATGGCGTGAGAATATTCTTAATGTTCTAAGGGCCTGGTTCAGACTCCCAAGTCCAGTAGGAGTGATTGAGTTCAATTCAAATAAGATGATATTTCATTCAAGATATGCCAAGAAAATTTAGTCCGAGTAGGACTCTACCTCAGCATCAGGTAAAAGTTGCTACTATAGAAGAGGGAATGCAATGTTCAAAGCCTCTTCAAATCAACACACAAATAGGTCATGCGAAAACTCTCACTCCACGCGAAACCCTCTCATCCCTGAGAAAACATTGACTTTTCTAACTTCGTCAAACACATCTTTAGTTAGTCTTAACAAAACTGTGGTTGGCAACCGGCAACACCTTCAATTAGTCTTAACGACACTGGAGCCATAGATCAGGCAATTGAGGAGTACCTTCAGTTAGTCTTAACAGCACTGCTTCGAGATCAACTAGTTATTTATCCAAGTCTCGGTTAACAAGGAATCTCTAAGTCCTTGTTCGAAAAGGTCATTTCATCAGCCTTCTCGACGAAGTGAAGTGTTACTAGGTTACATCGTTCGACACATTGAAAGCTGAACTTAGTTTATGATTGGATATTCACAAGTACAATTTAGAATTTGGCACTTTGACGGCCAAACCACATTTACAATCAAGACACTTATCTCTTTTGAGTATTTGTGTCTGTACAGCCTGGAACCGATTCAACGCACTTATATTTGTACAAATATAATTACAGCGGTTGAGCTCGGTGTCAACGATTCGTGAACTTCGAAGGAATTAGAAGCCTTTTCTCTAGAACCCAAAGGCTGAGACGAGTTCTTTCCTCAGCTGCAATCGCAAGACAAAAGTCAATAGCACATTCGACACCACCACCACCACCACCACATTCATTCACTCACCAACCGAGCTCTATCGTCGAGTTGGCACGCCCCGCATTCAATCAAAGGACGTAGTTAGCTCATTAGCTATTCGGCCTGCACGTCGCGTAGGCTTGGTAGTTTTTTGGGTAAACAGATGTTATTTGGATTCAAATTATCATTTGAAGTTATTTTGTTTGTATGTATCAGGCTAGATATACTGTCTGTTATTTTGTTTGTACGTATCAGGCTAGTTATACTGTCTGGTATTTTGTTTGTATGTATCAGTCTAGTTATATACTGTCCTAGAGTTATGCCGTCAGGTAGAGGAAAAGAGATTTAGTACAGGAATTTAATAACAATATCAACAAAGTTGCCCCAGCATACTTCCACTTTGCTCAAACCTGTCATGAGTTAGGATCATAGTGAATAGATAGGTGCATGTTTCGATTCATAAGATATAATGTGACCATAGTAGGACACTTGACAAAAGAATTAACTGATAGACCATGAATTTCAGAAGCTTGAAAGGGTAGTGGGAGCTAAAAATAGATATGCTAGTCCACTCATGAGCTACCTGATTAGCGTTCTGAAAGCCTCCCAAGGGCATATAAAATTAGAAAATTCTTCAGCCTATGACATAACACCATAAACTCCTTTTGGTGGCAGTAACATATGTTGTTATTTCTTCAAATCCTGAATCTACAACTTAGATTTCTGCACGGTGTAAAGAACAACTACCATTATAAACTAGGCTAGTCAACTTCAGGTGCAGAAATTTTTTAAACCAAATTATTTAAATTGGATATGGACTTCACATTTAGTACAAACGTACCTGGAGATTAAGAGCTTGTAGCCGAGGATCAGCTGGCAATAACAGTCTCTGAGGATATTTGTCCCCTAAATACTAATCGAGCACCACAAGAACACATCGTACCCAAATAACAGAACAATTAGAGGAACAAGTAAACCTTTAAAAACTGGAAACAGATGATCCATTTCCCAACAAACTACACTAACCAGCAATATTGCAAAGGAGTCTGAAACCACTGTATCCCCATCGACCAACACCGGAACAAAATGAAGAGGATTCAAACACTTGAACTCTGCAACTCAATCATTAAAAAAAGGCTTAATTTATTGAACCTTGGAAACATAGGCAGCATTTTTAAAGGGGTTATATCTAGCATGTTATATTGCCTGGCTGTGAATTTGTACCGCACATTCGATAAGTATCCAGTACCCACCAAAGTAAGGATTTATACTAAAAATTTGACAACATTAACGTGCCGGATTGTTTGGCAAGAGAATGTGGCTTGTAATGAGCATAATATCGCTTCAAACTCACCTGGACTGAACTGCTCTCCAGCTGGTAGGCTCACCGGTTTGTACTCGTACGGGAGTCCTACGCATTCAATTGAACTAACAAGAAGTCAAAACCAAGTAAAATCCAACTCAACCAAACATTTGGCCATTAATTCATGAATGTTGTTTTACTGCAGTAGCGAAAAGCAATCATACCTATGCAACTTGGTACGGGTTCAATACCCACGGATTCCTCTCCTGCCTACAGCTAACTACCTATAGCGCTACCCAAAAAAAAAATTGAAATATTAATTCAACCAAAATTTTACACAAAATTGAAATCGAGTGACATTTTTTTTAAACAAACGATAGTATCAATACCAAGGGGTTGGGATTGGGCTAAGCCTTACAATATGTTTGCCACAATAATATGGTAACTTCGCCTTTGGTGATAATTGAACGCTTTCATTTACAAGTGAAAAAGAATATCATTAAATCGTAATACTAAGTGGCGAAATCGAGTAACATTTAAATTTGAATGAATCATAAAACATTCAGGAGCAAAAAAAATGCAAAAATTACACTAAAAGTAATATTTTCTAAAAACCTTTAAGATTGAGAGCGAAGCGGACGCGCCAAGAGCAAGAGCTTTGCCAGTAGGAATAGAGAAGGAGCTTTGAAGCAGCCGGTACCTGATTGCTGCTGCTGCTGGTGGTTTCCATGGCTCTCCGTTGTTGTCAAAAGCTCTCGACTCTGAAACGTCTGATCCTGTTCAAGACACTAGTCAACTTCGAATGGAGTTCAATTTAATGGGGGCTGTTTTTGTTTTCTTCTCAGCTTCACCGTCGCCAAAGAGAAAATCCACTTTTTATTATTATTATTATTATTATTATTACTAGTACATGCGCACCCACAAAGTACAAGTTTGAAATGTTTTATTTTTATTTTTAAAATTAGAAGGAAGTGGAAGAGAGTGAGAAAGACGCGGGACAGGAGAGAGAATAGAGGTTTTATTTTTATTTTTTTAATTAGAGATGTTAAATAAAAACAACAAAATTTTGTTTAATAAAATATTTTACTGACCTTAATGTAGTACAAAGATATGATGTCCTCAATATTTTCTTAATATTGATAAAGTGTGTGACACAGTACTTATTAATTTATTAGGAAGCCTTTAAGGATGTGTTTGTTTGGTCTCATTAAATGGGACTGGACTGGACTGGACTACAGTCCCATGTTTGATAGGTGATGGGACTAAGTTAAGTGGGACTAAGGGGATTCGTGTGGACTAGAGGCCTTCTTAAAGGTTCTTAGCGAGGCCCTCCCCAAACCATGGGACTTGCTAAAACCGGCTTCTTCTTCCTCCTTGCGAGCCCCTCTGTGAGTTCTGGGCTTCTTAATTTTGAATTTCGATGGGATTTAATTAAGATCCGCAGACTATCCCTAGCAAGCTGCTTCTCTTCGCCATGGTCATCATCCTCTAAAATCTTGAATCTCATATTTCCCACCACCAACATCAACCACAAAAAATCCCCCATCTCATATTTTCCACCACCAACCATCACCCGGAAAAAATCCCCAATCTCATATTTCCTGTCGCCACCACCGCCATGGACGAGCCATCCGAGAAGCTCCAGAACCTCAAGTCGCTGAATTCTCTGCTGCTCAAGGAAACCAAGGACCGCTAGCAGTAGGTGGAGTCGCTGGTGCAAGGCAAGGCAGATTTGGAGTCCGGGCTGAGTCGATTCCGCCGTGGAGATTGAGCTGCTTGTGAGCAAGTTGAGTGAGTAGAGCAAGGAAAATGTTGGATTAGAGTTGGAGAAGAGTGTTTGTGGTGTTTTTGTTTTGACCCAGATGGAGCAAATGCTGTGAGATAAAGTTTGAGATTGAGATGGCGATGAGTAGAGAGATGGTGAAATTATGAAGTTGATGAGGGAAGTGGAGCAGCTTGCTGGTGGAATCGAGATCAAGAAGGGAAACTGAGAGAGAGATTATGTGAAGAAATTAATAATAAATTAATTTCGACAATAAACTACAGTATTATTTTCATTATCCTACTTGTTAATCCGACACTGCACCAAACGCTTCACTAGGTTAGTCCAGCGTAATCTAGTCTAAGCTATTCCAGCTTAGTCCCTGAAGTTAATCCAGTCCGGTACAACAAACGCCCCCCCTAAGAGAAGAAGGGATTCCCATTTTTTATATAAATGGGAATTAGTTGTGAGGTTCACATCACATCGAATTTTAACTATCCGAAACGTCTATTTCTTAAATTGTACCTCATAGATCATCATTGCAAAATATTAGCCAAATAGACAAATAGTTTCGGATTAAATTGAATTTTTGTAAGAATAATATATGAATTAAGACTTACAAAATAAACGGTTCAAATCGTTGAAATTCCATGTAGAGTGTTTCTCACACCTAATTCCCATTTTTTTTTAAAGAAAAACAAGAATCCCTTTGCATAAAGAGCCTGAACTAGAAAAAAAATATATCAAAATGAGGCGTTGGAAAGTATAAGAATACTCAACTAACTCCAATTGTTTAGGTAAATCCAACACATTAAACACAATTAATACTGTGAATAACCTCTATGACTAGTGAAACCATACAGGACAACATATAAAATGCCAACAATATATAATGGTGAAAAAATATGTGAAAAATGATGTAGGAAAAAATTATAAATTTAAATAAAATAAAATAAAAAGTGGGCTGTTAAGAAAAAACAAAAAAATGGGCTTACACCAAAAATTGAAGACTCTAAAGTGGGTTGAAATAACAAAAACACAAAAAGGGAACTGGGCATAGCAAGTGAAAAGAAAAAAATAAAAAAAAAGTGGGCTGGCTAGCGGACTGGCTAGCTGGTTGAAGATGGCCAGCCCTCTAGCCTGTTCAGACTCTGTGAGGCCCACGAGCCCTCTAGCCTAGCCCTCGGTTAGAGATGGTTTTCGAGCTATTTTTGGCCCTTTGACTCTCTGGACCCTTTGGTTAGAGATGGCCTTACATTCCTTTAGGCACTAAATCTAATCTTAACCATACATAGTAGGTCATTAATACATCTCTAATACAAGGACATATGAGACCTACAAAAGTAAATGGATCCAGACCTTACACTTGTCATATAAGAAAATACAATGACAGTAAAGGAAATTTGAAAACAACTTCACTATCAACAGAGCCACCACAAATATCAACTCGGTAATCCTGCAGATCGATCCTGAGAAGCTCCTCCGGTCAAACTCGGATTTGGTGACGTTCTGCTAACCTTGATCTCGTTCGAGTAACCGGAGATTCGATCATCAGCAGCAATGCCTGGCGGCTCTGAATCTTGGACTGCTTGCTCTATGTGAACGTTTTTACGATTGCATGCATGTTCTGCGTGTTAATATAATTATTAATAAATATATAAATCAATTAATAAAATCTGATTAATTAGTCAGAAAGATTCAATGTTCATCAACTTACGATTTTACGAAGGATTTTTTTATACAAGATATAGTTTACACTAAATTACGGTAAGAGAGATTCGAACTTTTGTACGTTAATAGAAATTACTAGTATCAGTGCAGCCTTTAGAAAGAGTCAATGCCATCAAGAAGAAGAAGAATATGGCGGCAACTTTTACGAAAGCCATGGATTCGATGATCAAAAACTTAAAAAATTTGGACTGAGCGAAAGAAAGGGTAGATGAAGGATAGTTAAACAATGTTGTGTGTGTATATAGGTGAAGGACGTGAGTGCCTAGCCTCTGGAGTTTTCTCCATGACCATGAGAGAAACAAAACTCAAACTTTCCTACAAATTTAGGCGAAAGAAACGATTCTCTAAGGATGAAATTTTCTTTAAGTACCAATTTTCCCTTCTTTAAAGAAAAGAGGAAAGTTATGATTAATGAGTTGTGATTCCATCGGGTTTATAAATTAAAGAAGGAAAACGATTTTCACTCTTTTTATTTATAGTCTTCAAATTCAATAAATTAAAAGAGAATCAAGGGAACAAAAACAAATGAGATATGCAGAACAAGAAAAGGGTATGAAACTTAATAGGCAGCCAAACTTTGTATTGCAAGTTATTTTACAGATCAATCCCTTTGTGTCATGATTTTCTCTCTACCTTCTTGCACTACTGTCTCTGTAGCTGGTGTTTGTGCTTGTTTGCCTCGTTGTTGGCCTTCTTGTAATCTTTTGGTATCTTTGCCCGGATATTGCATTTCCAGTTTACCAAAAAAAAAAAAAAAATTTGGGATTTAGGGTTTATGTTCATTTATGTATTTCTTATCAAATATCTCAAATACAGCACAAGACACCAATTACATCACTCAATCATTGCTTCCAATTTTGGCTCTGATTTGACCAGAAAACTTTTAGCTTCGTCATCCGTAACTTCACTGTTTTGTGAAACGTGTAGAAACAAAGATCAAATTAGTGGCTAAAAAAGTAACGGAAACGATACAAAAACTGTTAATTAACTTGAAACCATGCACTGCGAAGAACTGGAAAGAGCATAGGAATTTGTAACCTGTCTATAGCTTCTCTCTTGGGAATCAACGTGAGCTCCTTGGATGCAAGAAATCCACAGAAACTGCCAAGGGCTTTCTCCTCGCAGAATTTACATAGATTGCACAGGAAATCGTTGAACTCTTTTGGTTCCTGCATAGGACAAACTTTCGGAAGTTAAATATGCAATTGTCAGGTATAACCACAATTGTTAAACCAGTAAAACAAAACTAACTAGACAATTGGCGTAAATTTGAAACAACATTAGTTTCAATTGGCCTTATAAAGTGAAAGAACTCTGGAAGGTTTGCCTCTATGTATTGACATCCATTGTGAAATATGTGTCTGACTAGTGACTCCTTGCGCATTAGGAGCCATTCCTCCTTACAAGCTGAGGTGGGGTAAATCACAATTTAACATGTCTTCCTTTACTCAGAAGTACATGCATCAATCTGTGACTCGTTATTGTCAATAAGATAGGTATGAAGAGATGTAACCACGTACTATTTTCTTTTAGGGGAAGAGAAAAGTCCTTTTCCACAAGAAAAAGGTTAAGAGGGAAATCATGGCAGCACAAATAAGACGAGCTCCACTTTGTATGAGGGAGAAAGGGGCATACCTGCTCTAGGATACAACCCTTGCGGAGGGCAATTAAACATTCCAATGCCTTTGAATAATTATCCCCTTCATAAGAGTCCTCTACTAAGTCGTGTATTTTATTTTTCATATCCTTAATTGCTTTACCAACCCATTTTGGGCTATCTCTACGACTGATCATAGCTTCAAAATCCTGGACAGGAGTAGTGTCCCCAATTTTCTCAACCTTATTAGGTCCATCGGTAATGCTAAGATGATCCTCCCCCTCCTTTGACCCAGATGGTTTATCTCGCAAAAATCGCCTACTTGATTTCTTCAGCTGCAAACCAGTTACACATAAAACTTGATTTATGGTAGGATATCCAAAAAAATATATAAAGTGACTGGATGATAATGAGTAATGACCTTTGGGTTCTCTTTGAGTTCAAACCGGCTATGAAAGACATCAATAATAGACTTGTTTTGAGAAATAAGCTCTTTATCAGGTTCAGTAATCGTCCTAAGAGTTTCATCAAGTGGAGGTACAACTGCATCTGGTTGCCTTGACTTCAACTCAAGGTGACGATAAAAGCGCTGAAAAAAAAGGACAAAATCTGCAATGGTTTCATCTGAAAAACCATAAGGTATAACAAGGGAAATAACACCAGGAAGCCCGAAATCAGTGTGAAGAAGAGTCATGCGAGGACTAATCAAGCAAAATAGTAGTCATGACTCTATTGGTCATAGTTTCCAGCCGTTGTGGCCGGTGCTCGTTTGCGTGCACGAGACA